CACATGATCAGTGGAGCAGTGTCGTGTGTAAATAAGGTCCAGTTGGTTGCCTGATTTGTGAGTAGCTGTAGTTAATACTCGCTTGAGATCAAAAGAGAGTGTGGAAGTGTGGAAGTCTGCAGCCTGAGGTTTATGTAGGTGGATGTTGATGTCTCCAAGCATAACTAGGGCAGTAAGGAAAGTTTGAAAGTTTGAGAGCAGCACATCTAATTCTTCCACAAAGTTAACTAGTGGTCCTGGGGGTCAATAAACAACTATAAAATTTGATTGGCTGATTGATTGGCTGCTTTAGAAAGAGCAGCCAATCAAAAGCAAGAAAGGAAGCAAGTTAGTTAAGCAGTTCTAAAACAATATCTGAAGCTGGACTTTGTGTCGCACGCACCTTGAGTGTGTTGTCTCTATTGTAAAGAGCCCGGACATTCAAAACCAATTCTGTCTCTCCTTAGTAGCCTCCTCGCCTGAACACTCACCATTACCGTATCTCACTGGCCGTTACACAGAGAAACCAAAGACTGTGGATGATTCCACTGGGATGATTTGGTGAGAATGTATTAGTAGACATAGGCAAAGTGCGCAGGTTGTTAGGATTGCGCTGCCTACAGTGTGTGATGCATGGTTTGCGAGTGGTAGTGATAGTAGGGATCTAGAAACACATAGTAAGAATTGGTTATAATAACTGAAAACAGAAGGGGAACAAGTAGTAGGAAAGAGAATGATTCAGAAGCGATACTTATGTGTCTTGCCGGTGTCCCTGCTTGGTGGAGTCGAGTCAATGGTCTTTACACTCTTCGGTCTTCACACGAGGACTGCCGCGACCGCTGCCGCGGTATACTAAGCTTTTTATATTAGTCTAACAAAACTCAAATTGAATTCAGCTGGACACACTTTCCTGTTTATCACAACAAATGGCCAAGCAAACGCACGACATTGACAAGTTACGCGATACAGAACGAGACCAAACGCGATTTCAGCACGTCTCCACACAGTAAACAAAACAAGCATTTCCTAGCAACGACAACTGCGCTAAACACGGAGACAAGAAATAAATACACTTACAAGCTGCTTTAAACTTCTGCTGATTGACTGCTTCTCACAAAGAGTATTTCTTTACACTGTTTTGCTGGTGCTTTAACACACTTTCCTGTTTATCACAACAAATGTCCAAGCAAAGCGCATGACACTGACAAGGTACATGTTTTATTAATGTGGCTATTCGAGATGCTTGTATGTCGTTAAGTAGTTTTTGGACTTTTATTTGGGATCTTTACCCTGTGTTTCAGTGGCTTCCACCCTTCGAGACCTTTTCTCAGGGACCCACGCTGCAGTTCACTTTGCGATGGACCAATGACACGGCTGACAGGGGAACGGCACCAGTGGCCAAACCGCTTGCCACACGCAATTCTGAATCCAGCACAGTAGACAGCGGCAAGCCTAGCAATGTGAAGCCGCCACATGCAGTAGGTAAGATCACCAGCACTGGTTAGTGATTACAAGTGAAGATCACTAACATTTTGGTCTTTAAAGCATAACAATTTGTGTGCAGCACTGAGGATAATGGTCATAACAATGACGTTTTATTGATTGCAGCTGTTAATGAATCAGTTGGCGCTGATCTACCAGTAAGAAGAGAACAAACTCATGTCGAACCTCGTCAGAAACTACGTGTTTATTATCAGGTGAGTAATAACAAATGACAGAGTGGGATCTATGTACAATGAATAAACCCCATGAAATTAGTCCCAATGTTGGAAAATTTTCTAACCAATGGGACCAGATTGTTTATACCCGCTGTAGAATTGGTCATTCCAGGATGACAAGTTTTTAATACTAGGGGAAGATCCTCGGTGTTCTGTCTGCCGAAGCCCTTTATCCATTAAGCATGTTTTATTAGATTGTGCTGGTTTTAACTCATTGAGAATTTTTTTTTATTCAGTTAACTCTTTTGAAGATTTTTATCTAGTTAAGCCAAATACAGCCATAATATTTCTTGCCATGAAAATAGCCACAGAAGCTGGAATGGCAATAAACAAACAAACAAATTATCAGGTGAGTAACATGCATCTGCAAATGTATCTGACAATACCAAACCACACTGTACACATAACACAGCACTTATCAGTGATCACAGGCCTTTATATTGACTGTCAAAAGGGTAGGGAGTTTCCTGTGATTCTCTACATCTTTCCACTGTAGATTCTGTTGTATAGTATCACCATGAGAGCGCTGGAGTCCATAAGTCCTGCCTTGACCTTTTGCTCTGACCCATTGTTGGTTTTGTATGGTGAGCTACTGTGTGGTCATGGTCTCTTGTGTCCATCCCCTTGTTTTGTAGTTCCTGTATAACAATAACGCACGGCAGCAGACGGAGGCCAGAGATGACCTGCACTGTCCCTGGTGCACGTTGAACTGCCGTAAGCTCTACAGCCTCCTCAAGCACCTCAAGCTCTCCCACAGCCGCTTCATCTTCAACTATGTGGTAAGAAGTATCTCAAGGTTTTGAAACTGTCACCAGACCACATGGATTATGTAGTCATAAGTGTAATGCCACAGTGTTTACACTTGTTGTGGGAATCGATCTGTAAATGCCTTTTAGTTGAGCTGGGTTAAACATTCATAACCACTTGCAGAGCAACAAAAATACAGTCCATGTTTGGTAGAAGTGTTTATAGTGATGAAGTCATTTTTATCTCACCCAGCCTCATCCTAAAGGAGCCAGGATAGATGTGTCGATTAATGAATGCTATGACGGCTCTTACGTGGGCAACCCTCAGGACATCCACTGCCAACCTGGCTTTGCCTTCAGCCGTAACGGCCCAGTGAAAAGGACTCCAGTTACACACTTCCTTGTCTGCAGGTCTGTGTGGGTTGAAAGTGAAAGAAAGACTGAAAGTATCCAAATTCAAAAATGGTTGCATCTGAGTAAAAAGTTCCACCGTTATTTAAAAAATTTTTTTTTTGTGGTTGCTTTCTTTCTTTCTTTCTTTCTTTCTTTCTTTCTTTCTCTCTCTCTCTCTCTCTCAGTTCTGTGTTCGATACATCGATACGACAATGTATCGTCACAGAGATTTGACGATACGAGTATCGATACAGCTGGCCCTGTATCGATATTGTGGCACGTGTGCAGCAGTGGACCGCGCTTAATTTGAATACAAGAACAACGTTTAAAATTGAGCAGAAAAGTGCGAGGTTTCTAAAAAATAATGAATGGAGCATAATATATAGGCTATAACAAGGTTTAATCTGGCCGCAGAGGAACACTACTGGGTTGCCTGAAATAAAGAGACGTAATCCTGCAAGCTTCCCACTTGCGCAATACGGAAATATCTGCCAAGTGTGTTTGTCAACCTGGCAACCATGTGCACGCGCGCTCTCTCTCTCCACTGTGGATAAATGCACTTGCTTTCTGAAAACACCGGTTTTAGCTTGCAGTTTAGCTAGCTCCACTTCAATATTCTATTCTCAGAAAATTGCAATTAATCAAGGGTTCATTTATGAGAGAAAGAGAGAGAGAGGCTGTGTATGTATGAATTACCACCGTTTTGCAGCGTTTCTCTATTAACAGTAAAGCTGTGGCTTTAATTCCTTTAGAAACAACGATGTTACCAGCTCCTTGTTGAGAAAGATAATGTATCTCTTGAGCAATTAAGCTATTTAGTTGATAAAATAGCGGTGCAGCGCTAAAAAGTTTGTTCCTGAATGTCTCAGTGAGGACGCAACGTGATCTGTGTGAGTGACTGAGCGTGTGCGCGTTAGATACAGAAGACACCGCATTAGTTTAGAACTCTTCTAATTTTTATTTTTTAAACGTAGAGTGCTGGTAGGTTATCATTGCACAAATTAATACAATGTAAATATGATTTAAAAAAATATATTAGAATGAGTGCATTACAATATAAATTTATTAGAACAAGTACATTATTATTTATGGGTTAAAAAACAAGATGCAAAAAATCTGAATATTGTACCTGGTGGGGAGTGCCCAATGTAAACATGAAACATATGCCATTACCTATATTGTACTGTGGTACAGTTATGGAGGCCCTTCATAATGCAGAGGCCAACTGCCTGCTCTGCCAATAGTTAGAAATGGCACTATAGTATGCAGCGTTTAATAAACAGCTGTTTTTCTAAATTCTGCTGAGATGAAATTCAGTGCAGGCCCGTATCGTATCGTGGCCTCTGTATTGTGATACGCATCGTATCGTGACTTTGCTGGTGTTGCACAGCCCTACTCTCTATATGCATGTATCTGTGTGTATCACAATATAGTTATAATTTAATCAGAAAGTGTGTTGGATATTGCTTTTCCATTATTTCCCTCATTAACTAGGCCAGTTATTTTATTTGGATGCTAACCAAAACAAATTGTTCATAAGAAATTAATGATGCAACTGGCATCAGTGCTAAAACAGCTGCTTTATATTTTACAACACTTGAGTTAAAAATAAAACTCAAAACACTAGTGCATTATAAATATCAATGGATGGGCTGTGTTTGAGGTCAGTTGTAAATTGATGAATATATGCACCTTTTACCCCATATCAGTTGAATTCCACACTGACTACCTTTCGAACATTTGAAGTCTGTAAACATTTCTACAGTACATACCGTCATGCCACCCAGGCCTATCACATACCTTGCATCCATTTCTTTGCATCTGGTGTTAAAACGCAATGTTTTGGTTTTCTCAGGCCCAAGCGCTCAAAGCCCAGCCTCTCCGAGTTCCTGGAGCCAGAGGATGGAGAACAGGAGCAGCAGCGGACATACATCAGCGGCCACAACCGGCTGTACTTCCACAGCGACAGCTGCACGCCGCTTAGACCACAGGAAATGGATGTGGACAGTGAGGACGAGACGGACCCGGCATGGCTCAGAGAGAAGACTGTTATGGTGAGGAAGCCGTCAGAAGATCAGTAACCCTTTGGTTCTGTTAACACTGAAGATCCAGAGTAGCATTTACTAGGTCAGATTGACTCTAGATGACAAATCAAAACGGCAAAAAAAAGACAGATGGTGTGCTGTTTGTGACTCAAGCCGGGCTCACACTGTGCGATTTTTAAAAGTCCTTTAGGATTGTACTTGTCAGACTGTACGAACATGATGATCATGTCACACTGTGGGATCTCAGTTGTCATTAATGTCAGACTGTACGACAGTCAAGACGCGTTAAAAACGGGTGCGCGCAAGAAAACCTGTCCGGAGTTTTACATTATCAACTCATACACGTTCAGTGACCGCAAGCTGCATTGCACGCGGGGCTGTAATGTTGGCTGTCATTAAAAGTATATGAATGGCAGCAATACCGGCGTATTTAAGAAGAATAGTGTAAGCAGCACTACACACCCACATGAAAACAGCGGTGCAACTGGTGTTTATCATAGCAAAGGCAACGTATCATGAATTCCGTGAGCGGAGGACGGGAGCGCCGGAGTTTATGCGGTTAGAAGACATTTCTAGCATTAATTCTGATCATGGCTTGTCTTGAAAAACAAAGACACTTTGACGTTCGTCGTAGGAGATGTCACACTGCAGGACTGTGCGCCAAATCTTCTGACACTGCCAGAGAAGTTAATCAGAGGTCAAATTTGATCGTAACGGCCATTAATCGGGCCATTTAATAATGTCAAACCTGCGATCAAATACTACAGATTTTAGCCAAGGATTATAGGAATATTTTAGGATTTTCAGAATTTGTCTCAGACGACCAAATCGTGGCCAAAATAGCACAGTGTGAGCCGGGTTTTAGTCTGTGTGAGACTGAATATGATATGCTTCCACTGACACTACATGTTCAAATCGCATCTGAGGAGGGATGTTACAGCATATCTGGAATTAAGTTGCATTAAATCAATGTTAGTATAAAGGGTTGATTTTTATCTGCGTAATTGCTTTGTTGTTCAGTGACTTTTTATAGTAGGGATGCACCGAATTTTCAGCCACCAAAAATTATCGGCAGAAAATATGAGCCGGGGAAATTATTTATTTATATATATATGGTGCGCCGTGCACAGGTTTCACTCTCCTCTAGCCACAGTCACTGCATGATGTGATGCTCCACTCAATATTCCGCTCTATGAATGTGCGTTCTGCTCGTCTACCGCTCATGCTCACCGGAAAAGCAAAGTTCATTCAAATAATGCGCAGACAGGAAATTTCTATGAATTATGTTACTTGTTGCTGTTTGCAGTAGCGCTACTGGGATGTAACCTGCTGTACTGGGCAACACTGGTAAAATGACGCTATCCACTGATCTGCTCCCCACTGTGCTCTGCTCACATGCGCTGATAATAATAGCTTTGTAGGACTATATATTATTTGGATAATTAGTTAAAAAACTTGAATCTAAAAAATCTGATTCTGTTGCATAGAACTAAATAAAAATATATTGATATTTAATCAATTTTCTGTCCAATTTTATTGTGTAATTTTCAGTAAAAGTGGTTATTTTATTGGCTTGTTTTTTTTTTTTTTTTTTTTTTAAAGTTAGTGTAATTAAAATGAAGTTACATTTAAAAAGTCTTACAAAATTACTTTATTATTTTATTGAATAATATAAAGAATTATTACAAAGCATTTTTGGCTTCGTTTCTGTTTTCGGCCAAGTGCATCCAGAATTTTCATTTCGGTGCATCCCTAGTTTATAGCACCCTCTAAATCTGAAATTGCACACATGTTTTATTTAGCATTTACCATTTTAAGTGACTTTATCTTCACTACCCCTTAGCAAATCGATGAATTCACGGATGTCAATGAGGGAGAGAAAGAGGTCATGAAATTGTGGAACCTGCATGTAATGAAACATGGGTATGTTTTTTTTTTTCTTCTCACTTCTACTTCACTTCGGTCCTTTCTGTTTAAAGTTTGTTTTATTGAATCAAACCTCTCCTATTAAACGCAATCCTTGTTCTGTATATTACAGTGGCCTGGATACTCTCCTCGTATCACCTTACATGTTACGTGAGTTTATCTCTCAGAGCTTGATCACATTTCTGCCAGTAATTCGCTTGTTTCTTTCCATGCAGATTCATAGCTGACAACCAAATGAATCAGGCCTGCTTGTTGTTTGTGGAGCAGCACAGCACCACCATCATCGAGAAGAACCTTTGCCGGAACATTCTGCTCCATCTGGTCAGCATGCACGACTTTGGTTTAGTGAATACAGGGACCATAGATAAGGCCATGGCTCACCTGAAACCGCAAAAAGATGGCCAGGAGCAAGCCAAAACGCAAGACGATGCTGATGGTGGATCCAGCTGCAATGGTGAAACCAGTGTATCAAGTTTAGTCAACACCCAGAATCACTGAAACCTCCTCCTCACACTCTGCGTTGAATTGAGTGTCAGCAGGCATCCGAGAGCCACCAAATTCTGCTCGCTCACACGGTTAAAGTTGATGTCGAGTTAGAAGCAGTTTATGTGGTTCGACAGCCACATACTCTGCAGATCATGATTTTGGCCTGATGTCATCAGAGTTCAAAGCAACTCTTTACTAGGTTCAAATTACTTGAAGATGCCTTTAGTCTTTATGATGGAGTGTACAAGCAGGTCAGATTTTTCTCTTCCCACACAACCCTGTAGCTCTAGCAAATGTTTAGCACTTGTTTTAGGTGCCTGTTTTTAAAAGGACTATGAAAAGATTTTGTTTTAATATATTTTGAACATCAATGGATGGAAATGGCTCCTACAAACTTGCAACTATACAAAATATTGTGCATATTTTTCACAGGGGTTGATAAACTCATTCTGAAAACCTTAACATTTAATTTTTTGCTTGTGTATGGTTTCACCTTTTTTTTTTTTTTTTGTGGAGTTTTTCAGCATTTCAGTTTGTGCCATCCAAGTTTTTAAGTTGCACCACACTTTTTTTCTTTTTTTTTTGACTTGTTTTTCTTTGGAATCTTGGATTGAAGAACATCTACACTGCAGAGTTTATCAAGTTTTTCAGAGCCTTCATTTCACTGACCTTGCAACACAAACATACAGGTACAGGGTACTACAACGCAGTGGGGTGGCGAAGCCTTGCAGAAATGTTTACACTTGCCTAACCCATGGAAACATGGACTCGAAGCAGGGTTTGAACTTTTGGTCTAAATCAGTGCGAAAAGGTTTCATTTATTCTTGTTTGAGTCATTTCAAACTGTCCAGTTCCATAGACCGTGCATCTGCTCTGGTGTCCATCAATTTATCTCGTTTCCACTTGTCCTTCACGGTGCCCATTTGTTTGATTTTCAGGTGTTTCTGAAGAAACCTGTTGTAACGTGTACATGGGTTTAGTGATATTACACGATGGCTTTGCTGAAGGGGACTGCATTCCAGAAGGAATATTATTTTAGACCAAAGTGAAATGGTTATAATGTTTGTCTAGTTGGTTTCAAATCAGAAATGTAAGTCTTCATAGTTGTTGTTTTTGTTGTTGTATGCATCTGTTTTAAAAGAAAGGGATCTGTTTGTGAATCATTACTGCTTTATTTCGCTACAACTGTGCACTGGGTTAAAAATGTTTTTGGTCAATATTGGAGATCAGTTGCTTAACTGGCTGAAGCCGTTGTGTAATTGCTAATTTTTGCGTAACACTCAATACAGCAACGATTACACATGCTGTGGATTACTGATGTAAAGTAATGTCAAAAAAGATACTTATATCTTGAATTAAGAACATTATGAAACCTGCTTGAGTTTCTGAATTTTGCTGAAACGTGCTTGAGGTTGCTCTTTATTTAAAATAAAGATTTTTTTGTTTTACAATTGATACCTCACAAGTTGATGATTATCTTTCATGTTTTTCTTTTGAGTAAACATTTACAAATAAAATAAATCAAGAATTTTTGAAATGTTCCAAACAATTTATTAAATCTCAAATGTTCAGTTGTATTCTTACAGCTGTACTGCAAAGGCACAGACAAAATCAAATACACGTTAAACGGTCACAGTTTTATAAATATAGTATAGATCAGATCTTTCATGGGTTAGTCTGCATAGAGTTACAAATGTTCTCTTCTGCAGTGAGGAATTACATAGTACCTTGTAAACGATGTTTTATCTCAGGAACACACGAGTTGGGTGCTTGTCCTCTCATTTTGTCAATGTTTTTCCTCTGAAATCTCCAGCCAAAGCATTAGAAGCATTACTGTAAGGTAAGCCAACTGATAAAAACATGAAGTGGTTCAGTAAGACAGGTATGCATGTAAAAATGTGAACATAAAAGATCATAAAATGGCACAACACTTAAGCTTAGTGCGAATTATCACATTTCTGTGGAAACCTATTGCTATCTACTGCTCCATATTATTTTGCTGAAGTTGTGAATGAATGGGTTGACACCTTAAACACTCTACCCTGTGATGTAAAAATTAAAAACTACTTTCTAAATGAGAGCACGGAGTACCAGGCAAACACCAATTAAATACTAGTTATATGCCGTCTCTAAACGTTACAGTGTCCTAAATCAAACGACATTCAGCTGTTTAAACAGACTAAAAGTTCTAAGGATACATTCTCCACTTCAGACTTGAGAACTCAAAAGCAGAAAAGATTGTCTGAGCGTAAAAGATTCAGCTTCGTCGTTCGCTATAAAGCATTTTGTTTGTTTTTGTACATTTTTGAGCAGTTTTGAGTGCCTTTGATCTCTGAATGCTTCACCGTAGATTCTTTTCTGTGGTAAACCAGACCAGCATGCTTTGCAACTTAACACCTGCAGCTAAAGACTTTATTAGACTCCTCAAACATGTAACAGTCTCTTTTGCAAATATTTACTGTTATGCAAATACCACAACACCTGTCCATCTGTAATGAGGTCAAAGAGCAGTGGTTGGCGTCATACCTCAGAACAAAGTCTAATGTTATTCTGCAGTGATACGTGGTGCTGATAATAAGAAAAAGGGTAAATGTGACATCTGAACACTGTAAGCACTTGGGAAGTTTGATAACATTAAAGAAACGTGAGGTCTCGAATTCCAGCAGACTGGATCTTTCATCATGCAACAATCAAAACACCAGCACTTTCCATCCAGGGTGCGTGAAGGAGCAGCCAAAGAAAAGGCTGTCCACCACCTGATCCAGCAGCCAATCAAACACCACTTCCCTGTTCCCTGAGCCAATCGTCACCCTCAGCTTGAAGTTTCCACCATCGCTGGGGTTGTTATTGTTGCTCACAGGAAAGAGGTTGACTACTTCCATGTCAAAGGTCACAGAAGAGCCAACAGTGATGGCTGGTAGCTGGTTGGTCATCTCCTTTCCGTTCACAAACACGGCACCTGGAAAATGGAAAGCACACGGTGGCTTGACACTAATGTTTGCTGCAGTCGGTGAGTAAGCAGTGCCTCAAAAAGACACTTTTAATGATTTAAACTATCCATTTCAGTGAATCATTTTAAAATTATAACAAACGATTCATTTGAGTCATTGCTCATAAATCTCCCAGACGACTCGCTCTGTGAGTGTTTAATTGTTTTAGCAATAAACACTAATACTTACCTACTATACCTAATATTTCTTATGCTTTGTTAAACTGATTATACATAACATTAAATATATATATATATATATATATATTTTAGTAATCGAGTATTCTACTGAAAATTCCATCGATTAATCGAGTAATTGGATAAGAAGACCTTTTTCTTTATTAAAGAGCAATACTAACATTTTTATTACTGAAATTGCATATATTAATATTAATAACTGAAAACTAAACCCATTTAGTGCATTTAATTGCCATATTACATTCAAAATGCAAAAACAAATATATAAAAATCTATTTCAAATTACTTTAAAAAAGTTAAACATAGTACAACCAAAAACTAAGGCATAAATCAGATTAATAGTAATAAAAAAAAAATAAAAAAAAACCTAAACATTGTGCAACTTAACTTTCAAGTTTCAGCCTAACTATAGCTCAGGCATGACATAAGCCTTTACTGTCTTCTTAGAAGGCTTTGTGGCTTTTGTAAGAGGCAAAAATTAGTGGACGGGAAGCTAACGTGAAACAAAAACAAGAGTCCATACACATAACATTTATTAACACATGAATTTAAAGTTATTTGGAGAATAAACCCTCTTAAATGTCTCTCTGCATACTGGTGTGTGTTTGTGTGTGTGTAATCCTTTAAAGGAGCATGTGGTTGCAAACTGTAGTTACAGTAAATGGTAGCGATGCACCGAAATGAAAATTCTGGGCCGAAACCGAGAATTCTGGATGTGCTTGGTCGAAAACCGAAAATGCTTTGTAATAATTATTTATTTTATTAAATAATATAAAGTAATTTTGTAAGACTTTTTAATTTAACTCAATTTAAATTACACGGAATTAAAAAAACACAAGCCAATAAAATAACCACACTTTTATTGAAAGAAAATTGGACAGAAAATATATTAATATTAAATATCAGTGAATTATTTTTATTCAGTTCTGTGCAACAGAATCAGACATAACTGTTGTTGTTGTTGTTTTTGACTAATTATCCAAATAATGTATAGTCCTGCAAACGGTTTTTCCTTTCTCAAAATGCGGCGGAGGTGGTACCATCCTGATCATGTGCACACAATGTACCCACCCTTCAAGTGGCTGAAACAAACACTTTTTACACGCTACATATTTTAGGTGTTATAATAATTATAGCTATGATTAAAGAAAATGACAGTTATATATAAAGTTATGTTTTATTTTCTCTCACCTAATATTTTATTGTTATTTATTCTTAAAATAGCCTTATGAAAGGTTTTCTTTTTCCTCAGAATTCTGTGTTGTGTATCTGGTTATCAAATGAAGGCATAAAACATTAATATCATTTATCTTTAAATTATTGAAAATTAAACTATGTAGCAAACAAAGGGGATTTACTATTAAAATTAAAACATGGAAGAAATGTTGTGTGATCATTCTTTTAAAAATAACGTTTTCATAATTGTAGTAGTAGTATGTACATTCTGCTGAACAATAGTAATACATTTTTGCTGCAATGTCTTCAAATTAAACCAGACTTTTATTTTGAAGGGTTGCCGTGAATACCTTTACATTTCTGTGTGTACATGATATGACGCTAGTTTTACTCAAATGAAACGGTCATGAAGTGACTCTCAGAGCAGTGTGTGTGTGTGTGTGTGGTAAAGGAAAACGTGCGTCTCTGCCATTCATTCATTCATAGAGATATGATCGCGTAATACGAGTTAATGCTCATCAGATCGCGTAAATCAGTGGGAAATGAATAGAAATGATGATTTTGTGTAAACAAAATATCAAGTAAACATGTATAAAAATATAAAAACCCTGGCAAAGCTATTATTATCAGCAGAGCATATATAGCGGGGAGCAGATCAGTGAACGAGATTTTACCAGAGTTGCCCAGTACTGCAAACAGGAACAAGTATACTACATAGAAATTTCTTGTCAGCGCGTTATTTGAGCAGACTTCGCTTTTCCGGTGAGCATGAGCGGTAAATGAGCAGTATGAGCGGAATATTGAACGGAGCATCACATGGCGCAGTGATGACGGCTGGAGGAGAGTGAAACCTGAACACTGCTGGGCGGCGCGGCATATATTTTCGGCGGCCAAAAATTCAGTGCATCCATAGTGAATGGACTAAACGATTCTTCGAAGCACATAATTTGCCTAGATGATTTTTTGTATTCGAGTTACTCGAGGAATCGTTTCAGCCCTAGTTGCTTAGCAATGACAGACGCCTCTGGAGCGCAAGCGCCCGAACGCTTTGGGGAAAAAGCAGAGAGCGGCGCCCCTTGCGTTTTCCACACGTTTTTAGGCACGACATGTGAACGGCCCCTTAAGCAGCACAACTGCTTTCAACAATGATACACCTTGATGAAGACTGGAGTAATGGCTGCTGAAAATTCAGATTTGCCATCACAGGAAAATTTGTACAAATATATTCAAATTGAAAAAATGCATTTTAAATTGTAATTATTTTATAATATTACTTTTTTTACTGTATTTTTGAGCCAATAAATGCAGCCTTGGTGAGCAGAAGAGACTTTTTCAAAAACATGAAAAAATGCTAACCGACCTCAAACATTTGAACAAAAATGTATATACTGAACATCTTGAAAAGGTGTATAAATATTATGTTAGTTGAACTATATTGTCCTGTTCATACCATTAGTGGAGATGCAGACAGCCTGATCCCTCTGCAGTGAGTCTGTGGCAGTTCTGCTGTCCGCACACACACCCAAACTGTCCCGCTTATCTGTCTGTCCAGCAGCTGTGATCCTGCGAACAAACAAACGAGAAAGCCAAAAATCAGACACACAACGAGTGAGACATACGATAAGCCTGCTGATATTTGCTACTGTAAAAATGTTATTTGCGATGATTCTGCATCTCTCCGTTGTTTGTTTTTTAAATAATGAATTGCTGTATGTGTAATGTGATCTTAGCCTATTTATAGCATCCCACTTTCATATAGCCCACATTTGATTTGCTATGAGACTATGTGGAAGAATGAAACGCTGATGTACTTGAAGGTGAGGGTCTGGCCACAGAAGTATGAGGGGGAGTTGGAGTACAGAACACCCCCGTGACCAGGCGATGAGTCATTGCGCATAGCGATGTTCTTCCTACTGCTTAAAATGTAGCCATCCACGCCTGGAAGCCATTCTGTCAACGCACAATAAAACAACATTTATGAAACACGTTCACATTCCGTGGTGCTTTATGAGGAATTTCCACAGAAATTTGTACATCATTTACTCCCCCTCAAGTAGTTCCAAACCTGAATGAATTTCCTTCTTCTGTTGAACATAAAAGAAGATATTTTGAAGAATGTGGGTAACCAAACAGTAGCTGGTCCCACTGACTTCC